GTGGTTCTTGAGAAGGAGGTTTTTTCTAGTATTTGTTTCAATATAAAACTTGGATTCCTTATTGTTGCCCCACCTACCCCTCGGAGTCATGATTTGAACAATTTAGAATGTGCACTACAAGAGGAATCAGGATACTTCCAAATAAGTTCCAGCCTTTCTTTTCAGGTGGCTCTGAAGAAGATTTTAAAAGAATTTCCTATATACATGTAAAGATATTTCAATGTAAAACTTGGATTCCTTATTGTGGCCCCACCCTACACCCTGGAGGTCATGATTAAAAAAATGTAGAATTTACACTACGCCAGGATGCTTCCACGTAAGTTTCAGCTTTTCTGACGCAATGGTTCTTGGGAAGATTTTATAATGACTGAAGCCTATTTTTGTCTTTCATTGATTATCTCCCCTTGTATGAGGACATGGCGCTTAATTTATACAATTCAAACTCTCTGTTTAAAGTCATCATTTCATCAGTTCTATGGTCATTACCTTGACCTTGTCAGCAAATACAATTTTTCATGGAGACAAATGCTGACTGATGTTTTTCATACTAATTGTTACTCCATTATTTATACACTGAATTGACGATGAATTTTTCTGACATTTCCTGATCATGACAAGGAGCACACAGCAGATGTGATCGGTCAGCAGGGGATGCTCACACCTCCAAATAAAAAAGATTACATATGGACGGATGACGGACAATGGATGATCAGAAAAGCTCACTTTAGCTTTCAGCTTAGGTGGGCTTTAAAAACTAAAGTTTGCTTCTTCTGATGAAAAAGTGACCTGTCTGTCATTTATGCTATGAATATGTATCAGAATTTATTTTTACCTTCCAGATTTCCATCTCTAACAATAAAGAGATGTTGATGGAGTTCAAGTCCCCTCGTGGACTCTGTAATTTCGCTGATATTGTGATGTTGCCCTCTTAATCTCTTCAGTAGTGTCGTTTTTCCAGCCTCAGCACATCCAACAAGTATTCCTCTAGCATGGGAAACAGTTGTCTCCTTTCTCAGAAATTTCTTCAACTCATTCACTTTATTTATATCATAACTGCTTGGATCTATAACAAAAACAGTCATGTTCTCAGAATGGACATCAGAACACACACATGAAGCAGAATTTGAATTTTTTTTAATGCACTTTACAGGTGTTCCAGGAAAAAAAAATATGTATCAATACTCTAGATCTGTTATTTTCATATCTTATCTTTCTAAATCAGTCTCAGAATATTATCTGGTATTATGGCTTTGGTCGTATGATTTACGTCATGGGTATGAACAAGGATTGAAATTTGTCACAACTGACATTGTGTCAATGTTTATAATTAATATTAGCTAATTGTACAGGTATTGGTAAGAGTTATCTTTATTTGGGCATTAGGAGTTATCGTTTATTTCGTTTATGCACTATTGGTCACTGAGTTGTACTTGTTCTATTTTTATCAACGTATACTCATCGAGCCCGTTTGAGTAGTTTGGTCAGTTATTTATATACTGGGTGTTGGCTTGTGTTTGTCAGATGAGGTCTGGACGCCGGGAGTTATACTTTACCCATGCTGAGTGATCTTGGGCGTGCCTTTTATATTACCCATGCTGTGTGAACTTGGGTGTGCCTTTTATATTACCCATGCTGTGTGAACTTGGGTGTGTACTGTTTCCCCTACTGTGTGATCTTGGGAATCAGGGATGTTTTGTAGCAGTGTTGAGAGCAAGACCTGGGGGTCAACAGTATGATTTTTATGTATAAAATGCCACAGCTCAGTAAGTTTTTACACTTTGTAATATTTTTGTTGATCGCTTTAAAGAGCAATTTTCTTTGGAAAACTGTTAGCAATATAGCGAGTATGTATATATTTAATATGCTCTAATTCATTTACTTGTTAAACGGCAAAATTTTTTTCTTCCGTAATTTGTTGTAAAATCTAGATATATTGAACAGATGTGTGTTTTGAATATTTCATTAGAAAACCCTATGAAAATTGTAGGTGACCAAAATTGTATATTAAGCTTTTGTTCTGGACGGGCAGATTGGTGTATGTGGTGAGGCTACTTTTAGGATATGGTGGCCGGAAGGGACAATATGGTGAACCATTCATTGCGACGTGGTGTGAAGTGTGAATCTGTCCAGTGATGACCATGATTGAACTTTTGGCCATTTTCATGTTTATTGTACATATGTAGATAAATTTATTGTTAATTATTATGAATCTTGTTATTTCTTGGTGAACAGGAGGTCTTCCAAAATATTATTTATTTTGGGTTGTTAATACGAATTTAAAGAACCCATCACAACTTGAGGTCAGTTGTGACAAAATTAAACATTTTTTGTCAAAATAAAATTAATTCCTCTGTTTAAAATTTACAAACATAGATAATAAAATACTACTTTTGTAGCAGAAAAATAGTTATGTCTTTTACTCATGAAACAAGAGGTCCATGGGTGACATGAGTCACCTGAGTAACTTTGGAGATGCCTTTTTTAACCAGAATCCCCCCCCCCCCTTGTATTACATATTGAGGCCATATCCACCCCCTCCCTGGGGTCAGGATTTTAACAATTTAGAATCAACACTACCCAGAATGCTTACGTATAAATTTCAGCTTTACTGGCTCAGTGGTTCTTGGAAAGAAAATTTCTAAATTTTTTTCTATATATTTCTATGTTAAACGTGGATTCCCTATTGTGTCAATGTGGCACCACCCGCCCTACCCCCGGGGGTCATGATTTTGCCAATTTAGAATTAACACTACCCCCATGATGCTTCAACACAAGTTTCAGCTTTTATGGCCTGTTGATTCTTGAGAAAATGATTTTTAGAGAATTTTTCGTATGCATTTCTATGTAAAACTAGGATCCCCTACTGTGACCCCGCCCTTAGTATCCCCAGGGGTCATAATTTTAATAGTTTTGAATTTTCATTTCCCAAGGATACTTCCGGGTAAGTTTCATTTTTTCTTTGCCATTGGTTCTTGAGAGAAATTTCTCAAGATTTTCCCTACATATTTCAATGTAAAACTTGGATTCCCTATTGTCGTTCTGCCCTACCCCCCCCCCCCCCCCCCCCCCGGGTCATAGCTTTAACAATTTAGAATCTACACTACCCCAGGGTGCTTCTACATAAGTGTCAGGTTTTCTGCCCAGTGGTTCTTGAAAAGAAGATTTTTAAAGATGTTTCCTATATATTTCTATATAAAACTTAGATTCCCTATTGTGGCCCCATCCTACCCCATGGGGTCATGGTTTTAATAATTTAGAATCTACACTACCCCAGGATGCTTCCACATAAGTTTCAACTTTTCTGGCCAAGTGGTTCTTAAGAGGAAGATTTTTAATGACCCCACCCTATTTTCATCTTTTCTTGATTATCTCCCCTTGTAAGGGGACTTGGCCCTTCATTTAACAATTTGAATTCCCCATCACTCAAGGATGCTTTGTATCAAGCCTTGTTAATATTGACCCAGTGGTTCTTACGAAGAAGTTGAAAATGTGAAAAGTTTACAGTCGGACGGACAGCTAGACAGATGGACTAAATGTGATCAGAAAAGCTCACTTGAGCCTTCGGCTCAGGTGAGCTATTCTGCTAATAAACCAGAAGTCTCTATCGAGACTGAAGCTCTACTGGTTTGTACTTATAGCAAAGGAAGAGAAAAGTACTTAAGCAGTTGGGAATTGAAAGTCAAACTTAACAACAGCAATAAATAGAATAATGATCCTTGATAAAATCTCTTTATGTTCTTAGTGTAGTCTACTTGTGTGCCAAGTTATATCGAAATCAGAATAAAACTCAAAATGAAAAGTTATCATAGTTAGATCTCGTAAACGGTAAGAGATTAAGACACCAAACTTATATAAATGGTAGATCATGATAAGGAGGCAAATTCAGTTTGGATAAGAACGTCAGCCGTCACTTCCGGTCGTCACAGGAAGTGATCCAAAAAATCAAAATTTTTAACTTTTCTTTCATGAAACCATTTTTGCATCACATTATAACATCTTATTTGTATTTTTGAAATATATCAGTCCCACCGGAAACTAAAACGACAACTTCCGGTTATAAGAGAAAAACTACATAATTTGAGTATTTTTCTTTCCCATAAATATTTCTTATCGTGAAAGTATTTGTAATGATTTTTGGATATGTTATTCAGACTGCAACTCTCTACAGCAGTGTCTAATATCTCAGTAAAATTCACTTCCGGTCGCGTGACTTTCTGTCCTCAAAACAGAAGTTATCATTGCTAGATCTCGATGACGGTAAGAGATTAAGACAACAAACTAATAAGGATGGTAAACCTTGATGAGTAGACAAATCTTTTGAATTTAAGATCGTCCGCCGTCACTTCCGGTTGTCACAGGAAGTGATCAAATAAATAAAAAATTTAAACTTTTCTTTAAGGATTTTTTTCTTGTATTACCTTATAGCATCTTACAAGTAGTTTCAAAATATGTCAGTCCTATTGGAAACAAAAACGATGACTTCCGGTTATGAGAGAAAAACTGCATAAATTGAGATTCTTACTATCCCATAAATATCTTTTATAAAAAGAGTATTTGAAATGATTTTGGGACATGTTATTCAGACTGAGAAATCTCAAAATTAGACCTTTGAACCTTACTCAAAAAGTAATAAAGAAATATTCATTATGATCTCTGCGCATGCCCGACATGTAGACAACCACAAATTTCTAAGAGGAAAGTTTTTACCTAAAAACTTGAAATCATCGAAAATCAGAAGCCCAAATATGCAGCAACTTTAATTAGGATGATGAATTAAGTATTGTGTGACAACCTATAGAAGAAATATAACGAAACATAACGATTAACATCGGGAAAACCTTTCTGTGTATTTTCGGTAAGTCAATGGTATTTACCTGGTGAGTAATACTCATTCTGTTTATGAACATACATTTAACAATGTCGGATATCTCCAAGAAACGGGCACTAGATAAAATGGACAGTACTGACGAGAGTATGGAGCAAGGTGATCAAAGTGATCAGAAACCGGAAGATTTTCAGTTAAGGGATATAATGCAGGGCATTGCAAGTATTCAGACTACTTTGGCGAATTTTATGTTACGGCTCGATGGACAAGGTCGACACTTAGATGAAATTACGAAAGAAATCAGAGCAAAAAATGGCATTCAAGAAAGACTTGAAACTGTTCAAGAGCAAGCTAATGACACAATATATCTTGTGACAGAACTACAGGATAACCAGAAAAAAATGGAACGTGAAATGAACAGGCTCAAGGATTATGTAGTTCGTCTTGAATACCGTGTAAATTCACAAAGTAACCAAATAGTTGATCTCAAGGCAAGGTCAATGGAGAATAACATCATTGTTAGTGGTCTGCAGGAAAAAGGCCCCGAGAGGAAGACGCCAGAGAACCTTGCGCAAATTCTAAGAAATGTATTCATATCAGAAATGAACATGGGGGAGACAGCAGTTGATGAATTACAAATACAGAAACTCTTCCGAATGGGAGAATACGATGCTCAACGAAAATTTCCGAGACCAGTTTGTGTGCAATTTGCCGATAAAGCCCAAAAAGACCTTGTTATGAAACACATAAAAATTCTAAAAGAAAAAAAATCGGACATAAGATTATTGCCCAACAACAACCAGAGGAGATACGGGAACGACGAAAACAGCTGTATGAAGTTCAAAGAAAATATGCAGAACGAAATATCGAGACGAAAATGAAGGGGGACAGGCTTATCTTTACCCAGAGTAATTCAATCTACAGAGAGAAAGTAGGATCTCTTCCAACGGCAGATGAGGTGATTTCCAGCGACGTAGTCAAGATTACCGTTAACCCTGGAAAGTCAATTGAGGACAACGGAAACCGGTTTATGGCGCATTCCACCCAAGTCGATTCCTATAAACAGATTAAACGATCATTAGTGGAAATCATGCGTATCGAAACCGTACCCAGCGCAAGCCATAACGTTTATGCTTATCGCTTCACAAGCAGTGATGGGATAATCCATGAAGGATCAAATGATGACGGGGAACATGGTGCGGGAAGGTTACTTTTGAAAATGCTAGCCGAAAACGAAGTTAACAACGTACTGGTGGTGGTCTCTCGATGGCATGGAAACAATATTGGACCTCGTCGATTTTCCCATATCAAAGAAGCAGGTCTTAGTGCCGTAAAAAATTTACCAACTTCAGTTTGAAAACATGAAAAATAAACACAGTAACATTTTTGACTCTAGAACTGTTCTGGTCTTGATCTGAAATTATTTTTTAAATGTGGTCTAAAGGAAAAATGTGTAATACATTTTTTATGAATTTTCTAGTATCCCGGATTTCTTTCTTCCAGCCAATAATATTCCGGCAGTTTTTGAAACATACTATTTCCTGTTTTTGCTTACCTTATGACTTTTCCCGAAATAAGTTATGTATTCTTTTTATCAGCTCAACTGTAGGCGATATGTAAGTTTAATTTTTCTACTTAACATGTCACATAATTTATAGGAATCTGTATACATTGTCTTTTTGGTTACTTATAGATACATCACCTAATTAATTAAAAAGACGGACAAGTTGTGATTACATTACATGTACACATGTAGTGGTTTCCCTCATAAGAGAATAAAATATATATTAACAAATTTTAATTCACAACCTGTTAGGTAGATTCATATATTTTCTACAAATGGAATAGACCATGTATATTGTATTTCCTACACCTGTAAACCCATCCTCATTCATTTAAGAGATGTTTAATGTTAACTCTTAAGAAATATCAATTATAATCTGTTTTTGGTATAAACTTTCTACTCTCAAAATTAACAAGGCATGTATTCTCAGGCAACCCACACATTTTTGTATATACACCTTTTTTATTTTTTGTTTTTTCTTCTGTTTCTGTCTATCAGGGGGTCAGCAATGTTTTCATCGTTTTTTTCAGAATATTATGGTTTATAATAATGATAACAGCCTAAAAATACTCTCAGTAAATTGTCAAGGCCTTGGATTGAAAAATTTTTATTGATGAAGAATTGTAAATATGATGAATATGAAAGGCATTGGCAAAATATTTGTGATACATTGTAAGTAACAGAGTTACATATACAAGGTAATATATACATGTACATCTTATAATTTATTTGAGTGATTTTCTATTTTTTTGTATTATCTGTAACAGAAGAAAGGTTTTTTTTCTTGCTGACCCCTCCCCCCTTTTCTTTGTCTTTTCTTTTTTCAAAACACCTTTCACATTCTACATGTTCTACTATATTGTGTGTAGACCCAATGTTACTGTGTACCAATTGATGAAAATTATTCTATATGTACATGCGAAAGTGGTAAAGTAAAATTTAAAAAAAAAAAAAAAAAAAAAAAAAAAAAAAAAAAAAAAAAAAAGAATGAAGATAAATGTTGTGTTAACAAATTAACCAAGTTCATTGTTTCTGAAAATTAATTTATCTAGAATTTATAAGCATTATTAAATATATATCTTTGTCAAAAAAAAAAAAAAAAAAAAAAAAAAAAGAAATATTCATTACTTTTATCTAGATTCAGCTTCAAGTGTTAATCTCAAGTTTATCTCGCTCTCTCTTTTGGATAACCTTGACCTTGATAAATGACCCCCTATTGATACAAAGGTCACAATCAAGTCTAATGTCGTTGGGTATTTGCAACTCTTACTCTAACAAATGCTTATATCCCCCCTCCTTTCTTAAAAAAAAAATCAACAGCAGTATAGAGAAAATTTCTACAAGTCAAACCACACGATATATCGACATAAGATTCGGAGTAAAGGCAAGAAAAGACCTTAAAGGAAGTGTCCTTAGAATTTTAAGGTGAGTCTCTAAAATATAATGAAATTCTAGTGAAAATCGGCAAAATCAGCATTTTTTTTTTCTCTCTGAAATTTTGTATTGCTGAGCATACAAATTAATTAAAGCCCGTAATGGCTATTTCTGCATTTTTTGTTAATATCATTCGATTCTCCTGCTCTATTACGACATTTTAATACCAAGTACGCTTGCTTTCTTCAGTGTATGGAATTTATGTCAATTTTATTTGGATTTAATATTAACAGAATTATTCCCGAACCCGACTCTCTGTTTTCCTTTTCCATAATTACAAACTGCCTTGCATCTCTTGCTCATGTTTCTCACATGCTCTTAAATAATTTATCACCATCCATTTCAAACATAAAACAACTCAAATCGGATATTTTTCAAACATATCTTTAATACATGTATAATGCACATCTGATGCAGGTACACATGGGACATTTCACAACGTTTTCACTTACGCTTCCGTCTTGATGCGCAGATCAAATGCATGTTATTCATATTATAAGGTATTTCGTAATTTTAATCAGACCCTACCCCTTACATCTTAACTCGAAAACAATCTCATTCAAGCTCATATATACACCTAGGAGCGTGTTACAAAGTTTTGAACGTGCTCTCTTTGCAATCAGTGAAATCATGGTTGTCCCCGAGTCGACTCGTATAATAACAGGAAGTCTGTTTAGGGTATATTTATACCAACTGCGAGCCCGATCTAAAATCCTAGTAGACAAATGAGAATTTTCCTGTTTAATTAATTTTCTTGCTTTTTTCTACTTCTTTCAGCCCAAATGATATTGAAATGCTTAAAAAGGTAGAAAGGCCGATAATTGTTCACTGAACAATTAGTCTACTAGTTTATTATATGTCTGTCTTTTTTAAAATAGAAAAAAAAACATCCTGCATACAGATAAATAGAGGAGAACGGAAGACCTTCTTTGTTGCTGTAGCAACAAGAGTTTCTAGTTATTATTAAGGTCTTCCGTCTCCAACGGAAGACCTTTTTGTTTTCGTTCGGTTTCTTTTTCCCTTTTATTATTCCAACCGATTTTGTGCACGCAAGTTCTTAGAAACGACTCGTCCAAATTTCACGAAACTTTCAGATCTGGTAGGTATTGATCTGAACCTTATTGGAAATTTTTTTGGTTGATGACGTAACTTCTTATCTCGAGATATTTAGGATTTTCTGATTTTCAGAGGGTCGGCTTGTCCAGGAAACTCCTCCGAAACGACTGAAGATATCGACTTAAGATTTTTAGTGAAAGTAAAGGAAGGTTTGGTGAGTTGTAATTGGGTCTCCAAATCTTTCTAGCGCAAAAGGCGCCGGAGCTCGATAGGGCCCGAAAATATGTCTCAGAAATATCTCACAAAATTTGACACATTTTGTTTCATATCTTCATACCTGTTCATAATTTGTTAAAGCATATTGAAGAAAAAATGTGCAAAATTACAAGACCTTTCATTTGATACCAATAGAATGGGGTTGACCCCTCAAATTAGGGGCTCAAAGGGGTCAAAAGTCTTTTATCTATAACTCTCTAATGGTCGATATTTTGTTATATATTACTGAGGCAGAAGTAGTCATCTTAACAGTTTGCAACAAGATATGATAAAATTTTGATCATATGTTACGTAATTAGGGGTCACAAGGGGTCAGAATGTCAAATCTTTGACGCTTTATATCTCAAAAAGGGGGAATAATTTGATAAGCAATATTGAAGAAAAGATGGTCAGAATAATGTTCTAAACAATATCCATACTTTGAATTTTTGTAAAACAGCCCCATTAAGGACTTGTAGCTCGGTGGCCCCTAAATTTCCATTTAGCATATCTCCACAACGAAAAGAAATCTATGAATAGATAATGAATAAAAATTCTTCAAAATCACAAGACCTTTCATTTGATATCAAAAAAATGGGACTGACCCCTCGAATTAGGGGCTCAGAGGGGCCAAAAGTCTTTTATCTATAACTCTCTTATGATCGATATTTTGTTATATAATACTGAAGCAAGAGTAGTCATCTTAACGATTTGCAACAATATATGATAATATTTTGAACATATTTTACGTAATTAGGGGTCACCAGGGGCCAGAATGTCAAAACTTTGACGCTTTATATCTCAAAAAGGGGGAATATTTTAAATAGCAATATTGAACAAAAGATGGTCAGAATAATGTTCTAAACAATATCCATACATTGAATTTTTGTGAAACGGCCCCATTAAGGACTTATAGGGGTGGCCCCAAAATATTTCCATTTAGCATATCTCCACAACGAAAAGAAACGCTTCATATCTGATAAAGGGGGGATATTTTGAAAAGCAATAGTGAACAATTTAAGATGGTTCGAATAATGTTCTGAACGATATCTATGCTTAATTTGAATTTTTCTTAAAAGACCCCATTTAGGATTTGAAGGGTTGGCCCCTAAATATTTCCATTCAGCATACCTCCATAACGAAAGGAAATGTCTGATTAAGTCGCATTAAGTGTTGAACATAAATATCTTCAAAATCACGAGACCTTTCATTTGATATCAAGAAAAGATAGGGGCTGACTCTTCAAATTAGGGGCTCAGAGGGGCCTAAAGTCTTTCATCTTTACTTCTTTAATGATCAATACTTTGTGATACATTAGTGAAGCAAAGATATTCATCTTAACGATTTGAAAAAATATATTATAACATTTTGATCGTATGTTACGCAATTAGGGGTCACAGGAGGCTAAAATGCTAAATCTATGACGCTTCATATCCCCTTTTCGAGATATGAAGCGTCATAGATTTAGCATTTTAGCCTCCTGTGACCCCTAATTGCGTAACATACGATCAAAATGTTATAATATATTTTTGATAAGCAAAAGTGAAAAAAAAACCGGTCAGAATAATTTTCACGCAATCTAAACGGGAGGAATTCCAGATCTAAAAATTTTCATTTGATTGTAAAAGGATGTGTGTGTGTGTGTGTGTGGGGGGGGGGGGGGGGGCAATCATCGTTATAAAAATATATTTCCATGCAAACAGATATCTATACATACTTATAAGAATATGGGATAGGCCCTGGTTCATCTTTCAAAAAGTCATATTTAAATTGTTATTTGCACAGTAAGTGCGTATACAATTTCCTAAATATTCCAATGCAAGTATTCTTTCAATTCGAAATACTTAACGTACGAGTTGTAAAACCCCGGTGACAATGGTGCGTCCATTTACCCAAAAGTAACTTTTACGGGCAAATATATAACTTAAACAATGTTTTCCATCACTTAACAGGTAAAGAAAATAATATATCTATTTATTTTTTCTATTTTATTAGACCCAGTGGTATATCAATAATATCCAATGTTTTTGTAAAATTTTAACGATTTT